TCAACCCTCCAGTATGCAACAGCAATGCGGTTTTCTGTTCATCTTTCGTAATCCCTTTTGCCACCAAATACAGATTGAACGAGCGTTTCCACAACTTCCAGCGAACTGCAAGGGTGTTCGGATCTTCCTTTGGATTGAAGGGAGGAAGGCTGGCCACATCAAGTAGAGGAACAAACGTCGCGGTTGGCGAAGCTTGTGAACTTGAAGCTGTACTCGAAGTGGTTCCACTGTCGTCCGTCATCTTCCTGACAAAATACGAGGACTTTCCGCACAAATGACTTCCAAAACATCCACTACCTCACAAAACGAATTGAATCCTCGTCGCCAATGTAACAATGACGCCCGGATGGCCGTGTAATAAACCCAAATTTAACTTTAAAAGGAACTACACTTTATTCGGCCGCCATGACACCCGGAAAGCATGGCCCACACAAATATCCATGATCCTTTGCACGTTTACAGTAACCGAGAACTTCCGCTAACACAACTTCCGGTAGACAATAATATCGATACATTACATCTTGAACCCGTGAAGTAAAGTTTTGTTTCCTAAGAGGTCCGTTAAGAAAAGATGATTGACAGCAGCGAAAAACACAATCGTCGGTTGGCTTCTGAACTTCAGAATTCGCACGTTTGTGAGACGTGCAGTAAATAGACGATCGTAATTTGCCGTCTACAGTCTACATGAAAACGCACTATTTTTTCCACAAGATAAAAAATATTCAGTTTTAAGATTTTCCTCTTGGTATTTTTCTCTAACTTAAAGGAATAAAATCCTTAGCATTTTGTGACCTAAAAAAGTTTAAAGATTTCTCGCTCGCATGTTGCTTTCATCAGCACGCACTTCAAACAATGTAAATAGATGAAACGATCGACAACATATTTTTTACCTGATACCGATAGGAGTTAAAAATTCGCTCCAGTTCATTGTTTGTCTCACCCATGACTAACTTTTCTTCACGGAAGATAACTATGCCGCTTTATAACTCCTCCAAAGTTTTTGTGCCAGCTAAAAAATATGAAATCACTATTCACAGTCCTTGGATATTAAAAAGACTGAACGTGACGCAGTATTGCGACTTTGTTTACTTCTGATCACAACTTCAAGCGAAGTCTCTCTTTTCAAGCGATTCATCTCAATGAACAATAATTGACCCTTATATTTATATAAGTCATGTGTATTATGTTTCGAGATAAATGGATTATACGCTTTTTTAAGTTTCCATTTTGCGGTGACTTCAGTTTACATCTCCATAAAATGGTAGAAGAAATATCAAGAAACATCACGAGAGCTGAAAATTTTCAAAGGCATGTTTCTGGAACTCGCTCATGCTGACATCAATATGGCGTGGTTGCTGAATGGGCGAAAATCAGAAGATCATGTACAAATTTAATGATAAAAGCTTAGCAAGATACAGATACAAACAAAACCAATCCCCCTGAAACCTCGACGTGGGCTACACTTGTATGCTCCACTCAGTCACCAAACCTTGTCAGTAATAGCTCCTATTTTCATGTATTTTCCTCAAGTCAAGCCTTGAACTTGTGTGCGAAATTCTCAGAGTTCCTATTTATGTCCGTGTCTTCTTTATCCTCAGTATCCCAAATTTAGACCTCCAAATTAAATAGAAGGAAATATTTAAAGGAAAAGCCAGTCTTCTAACATGGCAAAGTTGTCACGTCCCTCGCTAAAATGGACGTGCGTAACATCAGGATTCATTCATCTGACATTCATGGGCAACTGAGTTGTTCGCGTCACTGACTACGACAGCTTACAATCAAGTCTTCAGCCATAGTGTCGTCGACTGGTGAAATACTTTGCTCATAAATTGTGCTTATTAATTGCTCATGTACTACATCGATCGATAATTCTCTCTTTGAGTTCACGAAGCGGCCCGGCGTTCCAAACCTGACGCTCACAGTCATCTTTTGGTGTGAACCTACGGTGAACGGCGTGTCGGTTTGTATGCAACGTGAGCATTTTTCTGAGTTTCCCAGCGCCAACATCATCTAACTGACTTAAACTCGAACAATAAAAAAATTATAGAGTGACTCCCATGATCGAATCGCTTCGAACAACGCAAATAGCCTTCTTCAGGTTCGCAACGCCTTGTGGGTTTTTCAGGGGGAGCGGAGACGATGTACAAAAAGTATCCGTGCAAGGGTCCGTGCAAGAGAAAATCATATGAAACCATTTGTGAGAACGTCGTTTCTTGGTACTAGACTCTCGTGTTTTCCCTCCCCCGGATGACCGTTTTCTGACACCGACGACGGAAAACCGAATTTATGACTGGGCCGCACAGGCAGCCCAGTAATCATTGCTTTGTAGATTTTCTCAGCACTGCTCTTGTAAATTAAATCTTCCAGCTGCTCTTTTATACATTTTGTCAAAATGTGATTCGAGATTTAAGGATGAATCCAAATTTACACCCAAGTATTTATAGGACGACGTGGTATTAATCAGTGTTCCGTTTACAGTCAAGGCTAGTTGTCTTCTATTCAATGCATTAAGCCTTTTTTCAGTACCAAAGATCATACACTCAGTTTTGCCCTTTTTTAGATTAAGGACAAGCTCATTATCGCGAAACCAAGAAGACAGGTTGTGACAATCTTCACTGAGATGCCTTTGAATGGATTCCAGATCTTTAGCAGCCGTGTGCAACCCTAAACGAGACCTTCACGGCTAAATATGATGGCGTTTTGCCCAGAACACCCTAAATGGGACCAAAATCCGAAATTAACACCCCTAAGCGAGAGCATCCCCACCACTTTCATATGTGGAGCTCCCCCCGGGGTTTGTGGTTGAGGTTTTGCTTTCACAAGTGTTTCTGATATAAATAAGCACCCTGGCGCTCTTTCAAAAACACAATATTCTAATGCATTTCATCGAAAAAGCACGGCCCTCAAATAAGCTTCGCACCTTCAAGTCGAAAATCAATATGTGCCGCCGCGGTCTTTCGAAAAATACAATATTCTTATCGATTTCATCGAAAGGACACTGCCCTTTAGTAAGTGCCTCCCTCAAGTAATGAAAACGGAAAGAGGGGGACATGGGGGTTTACGGTATTGAGCTTTTTTTCAAGCGGTATTTCGGTAATTTTGATTTTAGGGTGCGGTATTGCGGTATCATCCAGCCCCGCAGTGTGCGGTTTTTCATCCTTCTGGCTAACGGTATTCGGTAAGAGAAGAACCTTCACGGTATTGCCGTAGTGTTCATTTGGCCTCTCCTGTCTAATGTAGGTCAATATTTGGAATAAATGAATACACAATTTCTGACAGTCACTCTATAGTAAAATTGGTAGAACATCCAATGACCCGGCTTTTTGATCTTTGTACCGGTCAGTTCAAGATCTTCTCACGTTTTCTCGCAAAGGTTGAGGTTGATTTCTGGTGTATACAAGCTCAGATAAAAAAACGAGAAATGGATACAACATTAAGCAAGCGTCACCGATCACAAATGCGCTATCGGTATTTCGTCCATTTTCGACACGGTATTTTGGTATTTGCCAATTTTTCGTACGGTATTGCGGTATTGGGCACCCCCCAATGTCCCCCTCCTGAAATTCGAGGGGACGAAAATCTTTATATGAAGGATGTGCTGCAAAATGGCTGAAACTTTAGAAAAATAAGTTGTGGAATTCCCTAGCCTGTTGGCAGTCCGCCTTTTCTCTTAAAATCTGTCAAGTTCTTATCTCAGCCAGCGCGATTGCAAACCACAACTTTACGTTACGCTTGCTTAGGACTTTCGCGTGCAGTAACTTTGCAAAGTAAAATAAGAGGCAGCTCGCTGTCTGGGAATTCGCTTATAAGCATTGCTTTGAAATCTTTATTAAATAATTGTATTAAGTACTATACTGCTACTAAGCTCCTTACCAAACCAGCAAATCGGGACTAGTGTGCGCGAATTTACATTGACTGAAGTTTAATACTTAGATAATAGCTTTTAATAAGAACCATAATATGGCTCTTGCTTTTAATCATTTATTGGGAGTGTCAAGACTCTGCGAGCATTAATTGCACTGCGCCGCTTGGACAGCCAAGAAGCAAAAAACATCAGCTATGATAATCAACATTAAAAAATTTGATTTTTGCCGTATTAAGGCACTCTCGCTTGAGTAGGTTTAAATCTCTTGGTTGAATGCACTAGAAATTTGTATTTATTCGAAATAGCGCCGCGGTGCTTATTGACTTTTTACTTCAAGGTGCGGAGGTTATTTGAGGCCAGGGCTCTTTCAATTAAATGCAATGTTTCTCGAGCTGCCGCCCTCGTTTCTCGCGCGCGTGCACTCCCTAAGAAATTTGAATAAAAAGAGAAACTGCTCGAGGTCTAGTACAACAGTATAATGACAGTTACCACAACCGTAATTGTTTGCAGGTGATGCCATTCCTGACGAGACAAGCCCAGTCGTGGTCCTTTTTTCCATTTCCGAAAACACAGAGTGCATTACTCCGCCGGGAGGAGACTACAAAAGGGTTCATTACTGGCAGGCTCCAGATTTTGTAGATAGCTCTTTTTTTGTCGACTTTCTGACGGAAATTGTTGATGCAATCTCGGATAGGGACTCACAAAAGTTTCTTGAACTCCTCGATCCTACCCCAACTTTGTGGAATGAGTTGCAAGGTGGAACCGCAAGCGAAAAAGGTGGTTTAACGACGACAAAACTTGTTTATCGAAAGTGCGCGAAGAATGCTCAAACTTTCACAGCACTGGAGAATTCATCTCTCTTTTCCCTCCGGAAGGGAGTGTTGGCATCACAAGTGCTGACGTCCTTGTTAACAACGAGTTGGACCCATCTGGTGAGCTACGGAGAAAGATTAGTCAGTATATTGCTGCCGACATTGCTTTGTGCGAAGAGTTTGAGTTTGAGAGCGCCGAGGAAACCGAAGAGAGGCAAGATGTCTTTGTGGACGATACATACCCGTTAGATGACGAAGAAGATATTAACGAAGTGGAAGAGGCAACTCCTGAGAAGCCGTGCTATTATCCATCACAGATAGAAATGGCAACGATTCTGAAGAAACGAATTGACACAATAATGTGGCATTACCACAACATCGCTAAGCTGAGCGACGCTTTCGACGACGTAGAGTTTGCAGTCTACACAGCAAGGTACCGGATGCTTAGCGATCAGACTGAGAAAAGGATATGTCATCCGGGCGCTGGTGTTCTATCGAATGAAGAATTGAAGTCACGTAAAGAGTCGAATGGAAAGAAGAGAATGTTCATGTATGTTCGCAGCGCGGAAAATGACAAGCATTTTGAAAAGCTAAGAAAAGACGTTCATGCAAACCCAAGAACTCTTTTTACCATTATTGCTGATGAGTGCCACTGGGGAATCACAAGGGACAAAGTCCAGAAACCATCAGCACATAATCTGTTCATCAATGAATGGTGTAAAGATAACTCACCCAGAAATGTGGTCGTAGTTCAAATCTCAGCAACACCTTTCAACATTTTAACGCAGAACTCCCGCCTTCCTGAAGTCCGTTGCCTTATTGCATACGAGAGAATCTCTACCATACGAAACAATCTTTACGAAGCTGGCGAACTTATGGTCTTAGAACGTGAGCCTGAGATTGGAGTACATGACTTTGTAAAACCAACTTTCAAGGAGGTAGAACTTCATGTTGTCCACTGGTCGGAGGTAGAGCTGAAGAACTTTGAAAAGGGAATGCGAATGAAACTCAAGTCGACATTAACTGTCGAACTTTTTCCACAGCCGCGATACCTTCATGTTTCCACGGAGGGGAAACTGGGCGTCGTATACAATAAACGTGATGCCACTGACTTTCTTGTAAAGGGGAGTCACGGTATTGTGACAATCAAGGCCATTTTAAACGAAGACACGGTCCGCACACTAAAGGGAGACTCGAACGGAATGCTGGAAACCATTGTCCACCCTCAGGAGTCAGCTAAGTTTGAGGTAAAGTTGGACTTTGGCGTTGGAGTTGCGGCATTTTCTTGTAGTGAAAGGAGAGATCTCTATTTAGCAGTCGACGACAAAGATAACGTTTTGCTGCAAGCAGCTAGAATTGAAAGAAAATGTGGTGTGTCTATAATGCAAGCCAAACACGACTTGGGTCGCGTTTCATTCGAATTTTACATTGATCAATGTGGACCAGCAGAAGTTGACTCTGTTGAACAACAGTACATGAGTTTAAACTACTATCTAAGTACCATGAACTGTGGTAAAAGGAGTGATCAAAAGATTCGTCAGGACAAGTTATTTCAAGAGATGGTGAACACGGCAAAAAGACAAAACAAGCGGTGCACACCCGACTCATCATCTCTCAAGATAGATGCCCTTCTATGCGCGGAGTACTGCTACTACATTCTCCTAGTTGGCACATACAACAGCGATGACAAAATCCGACAGGCACTTATCAGTGGCACGGGAGAATCTCCCACTGATCAGTTCAGTGAAAAGGTTCGCTCTTTCAGAGAAGAGCTCAAGAACAACGCAAAGTACATTCATCACGAAGCCTTTGAATTGGTTGTGAGAGAAATTTGCAACAAGGAAAAAGAAACTTTCAAAACGAATGTGAAAATAATCTCAAGATTCCAAAAACAAAACAGATCACCTAGTAAACTGGACTCTAATGAAAAGTTAGAAACAGAATTTGTTGCCTGTCTAATGCACTTGTCTCGGGAAGGTCTACAAACGATCATGGAAGATCCCCGCACGAAAGGTATTGTAAAAGAGATCAAAGCGTCACTACAACAAAACAACTGCCACAAGATGATTGAAATCTGGAGGGGTGTTATCCGAAAGTACGAAACAGGATTCCTTGTACAAAGCCTAATCGAGAGTGGTGAAGGGGAATCGGGTAAAATGAAAATTGTACGAGCAAAAAGCATGGAAACCGCCGATCAGTTCTACCACACCCTTAGATTGGCCAGGAAACTGTCTTCCTTGGACAAATCATTTGAGATCATAAGAGATTATGGCGGAATCCAAATCAAGAATCAGCTAATGAAATCATCAAGTCCTTTCTTCCTTAAGCTCCAACCAAGGGAATGCCAGTTTAAATTTGACTGCCCTTGCAGTAAGCTTGAGCTACGCCTCGGCCACAAGAGGTGTATCAATTGTCAGCACGTGCATAAGTCAATCACTCAGTATGAAGACTTAGAAAACTTGGCGTGCGTCCTCATCCTGGTTGAAAAAGGACGTATGGGGGACACATTTCCCCATAGCTTCGATTGCCTTGACCTTCGACTAAGCTATGACAGCAATCGGGAATTCAATGAGGGCTCACCAGTTTTTTTGTCAACTGTCATTCAAGAACTTGGAAGAATGTGCCGATATGCAAAAGCGTCAATCCGAGAATCGCGTAATCAGTACACTCCTTATGTGTTGGTTGGAAGGGAGCTTTTCAAAAGGCTTGGTAAATCATTGAAACTTTCCCCAGCTATGAGCGCAATTTCTTGTACCAGAGCTGATCGGTACATGTCAACCTCCAAAAGTAAATGGGAGCGAAAATCATCTTCACTACGTTGGTTGGACTATGAAGCTCATAAGGATAGTTATGATTACGGCAACAAGAAGACACATTGCAACAGAATCCTTCTCCAAGCTGAGCCTCAGATCGGCAAGACGGGTGCCTATCTTTGCCTCATTAAACAGCTTAGAGAAGAAATCCTTGGAATAGAAGATGAAGGCAGCTTTTATCCCCACGCACAATACGATTCTCTTGACGAGACAATGGAAAGCAGCGTCAACAGTGACGAAGACTGGCACTTTCCCTATTGGAAGACGATCGAGAATTCTCCCAGCCTTTCTGAAAAAGCAGTGGGGAAGGGGAAGTATTCAATTGGAGGGCTCTTCTACACTCACGACGTCGAAGATAATCCCTTCTTTCTCATGAAACGAGAAAACCAGAATTCAATCAAGTCAATTCTCAATTATCAGAAATTGCTATCAGGAAATTGTGCAGATGGTGTTCGCGCATGGCATTGGTACCATTTTGAGAACTGTGTTGAGTGCGGAAGACTACGTCAAGGAGAGCGGCCAGTTTTGGAAACGCTTGAGGTAAGCATAGATGGCACTCCGGTAACGGTCACTTGTTCAATTCCCACCAGCAATCTAGCATACAATTACCTGCGAGAACATCTCCGGAGTTTTAGGTCAGTGGAATGGTCTAGGACGGAGTTCAACTGCCCAGGAGTGACCTCGCTGTCTTATTGGATATTCCATCCCTCGCACAGACAGGATCCGCGAAAGTGTCTTCTAAACTATCATCACGTGATGCAAGAAGAAAACCAAGTAGCTCGTTATCTGCAAGTTGCTGTGGTTCGAAGTGAAATGTTCCAGGCCTACAAATCTACCTGGGGGAAGGTGATTGCAATATTTCAGCTGCCAGATGAACTACCGAACTGCGAACTTGGACCGAGTGAAGGAGGTGTGGGTTACGCGAGGTTGTTTATTCAGAAAATTGCATTTGCTCTAAAGCTGGAATACATTTTTGTGATTGATGACAATGTGGCCTTGATGTCCGAAGCAGTGTTGAGGTCAGACCAAGGAACAACAACAGGTCAGAGCGTTGTCAGAGATGAGAATGGAGTGATGAAGATGGAAAGATGTTCTTTCTTAAAACCTCTCACTCACCTTCAGAAGATTGCAAGCGGAAAGGGCAATCCACCCGATGAAAGAATACAGTACGAGCCACATCCTTTAAAGGATCATCCCGAGGGCCAACAGTTTCCCCTGTATTCGTATACAGGCCCCGCTAAGTTGTTTGGTGACAGCCCGTTTAAGAGTTATGGCATTCTAGGTTTTCTCAGAAGTGTCCCTAGATCGGTCAGGCCATTTGCGAAGACCCAGGTTTATGCTGCTGTTTTGTTGAATGTCAAAAGTACGGTGGAAAAGGAAGTGTTTTATCGACCATGGCCGTGTTGGGAAGACTTACGCTTCAACGACGATTGCGACAAAGCTGATTTATGGGTAGTGAAATGCAATCGCTTCCATTTTCACAAAGTCCAATACAACGACTGGATCAAGGATCTCGTACGTCCGACTATTTTTGTATGGAAAAAAGATAGCTTTCTGGAGGAACGACCACTTGCTAGTGAACTGCCAAAGGTTATCGAGGAGGAAATCATCTTGGGCCACCTCCGCAGCTTCGTCAACACTGAAGGCCATGAGAATTACTTCAAAGGACAGATTGGATACGACCGACCAGAGGATTGTGACGACCAGTTCTCCCCCTCAAAAATTGTTGAGGAACTTGACCTCCGGACACTTGACCTCCAGAACTACGAAAGTAAGGAGTCCGGTTCCAAGAAAAAAATTTCAGTCCTTATTTTATCATACTGTGCTTCTGTTGCAAATCGGAGTCTCAGGAATGCGATGCTTTTAGAATCAGCCTATTGCGCAACCCAAGAAAAGATCATTTTCATCACTAGTGCTAAAGATGCAATAGAAAGGTGGCCCGGGCTGACTCTGGCGACCATAGCTTCGCACAATGGAATTTGCCTCACCTCCCAAATGAGCAACAGATGTGGTCGGTTTTCCATTTTATCAGCCGCTGATCCTAGAAGACATCATTTACGGTGGATTGTGATCGAGGCATCCTTCTCGAAAGAAGATAGCATGATTCTGGAAGAATTTAATGCAGCTGTTGAAATAAACGTATCTGGAAACGCCACAAAAGCGGACGAAAGTATCCTTGTTGATCATCAGCAACACCTCAGTACAAGTACAAGAGAGTTTGAACAAGGATCTCTCAGCACAAAGGGTCAAGAAACTGTGGATGTAGGAACGTCCTCCCAACCACTGCTAAGAAGAGAACCAGGGATCAAAGAACCCATCAGTGCAAACCGTTCTCCTTATAGAATATATGGCCTTGAGACGCCTTTGCAAGAGACTTTAGGGCCATATCGTCAGGAATGTTCGAGTGTAAAGAAATCTCCTCAAGAATTCACCGGTCTAACATCGTCTCTTCTTCCCTCAAACAAGTCTCGTCAAGAATCACCTAATTCAATTGATGATTTCTTTGGCCAGAAAAAAAACCAAACGCGCGACGAACAGAGTGTCAAAAAAACGTTTGAAAAGGCAGGCACAGGCGGAGACTCATGTAATGGCAGGCAAGGGGAAAGAAAAAAGTCAATCTTCAATGACAGAGGAGAAAGTAACAGCAATTGGAATGAACACGGTAACGCCATTTCGGAAACAGAACAATCAAAAGGAGAAAAGGAAAGGAAAAAGGAACTCCAGACTGGAAGTGACCAGAAAAGCAGAAACCCCATTCGTACTGGTGGCGACAGCATGCTGAGGAGGGAAAATGACAAGCACATGATGTTCACGTCTTCTCTACATGATATACGTGACGTATATGTTGTTAACGAGAACGGCGGAGAGACGTCGAGTGGCAAGAAAGTAAAAAAGAAGAAAAGTAGGAGCGAAAGCAGTGAAGAGCGTAACAGAAAGGGAAGTAAAAATGATGAATCCACTTCGGAAAACGGACATTCAAAAGTGAGCAAGAAAAAGAAAAAGGAATTCCAAAGTGAAAGTAGCCAGAAAAGTACTAGCCCCTCTCATTCTAGTCAAGGTCAAGAGATTATGTCAAAGAACAAAGAGATCACACAGAGGGCATCTACATCTTCTGTTCATGAAGAAACTGTTGAAGATGTAGAAACCATATCTAATGCTAGCAGCCAAACAAGCACGTGTTCCATACAACGGGAGAACACAGAGTGGCCGAATGTACCAGATACGTACAGTGCTGATGATGTTACAAGTAACAGCGATTCTAATACCAGTCACCAGCGTAGAACCTCCACTTCAAGAAATCAAGACGCCGAAAAAATGTCATTGTACATGGCGGGAACTAACGACGTCACAGCACGTATTGTTGACCTTTGGAATCAACGCAAACAGATGAAAAAACGAGAAGATCTTTCAGAGGTACACGTTAAAAAAAGTCTCGATTGCTTTGTATCTGGGGAGTTGGAGACAAAAGACCAACATGGCTACAATGCACTTTTAAAGGCGTGTTCCTTGCCCTCTATGAGTCCTCATGTAATGCAGCACCTGATAGTCGTTCGAAAAGTGGACTTAAACTGTAAGCTTCCAGATGACTTTGACAAGGACCACCGCTCAGCCAAAGGGTTAATTCCAGGAATGTCCGCTCTGTCAGTGGCAATAAGGAGACAAAATATAAGCCGCATTTCAACCTTCAAAAGACGAAAAAAAGAAATCAGTGTACAAGACGCTGACCAGGAAAAGAACACTGCTTTGCATCACTGTGTTGCATCGGCATCGAAAGGAGCATTCGAAAAGCTGTTCCCACTTTATAAAGAATTAAATTGGAAAAAAATGTTTAACAGAGAATTGGAAAGCCCTCTGGACATTGCGCAGAACTTGGCAATGGACAGTGCTGCAAAAAAGAAACAAGCACTAGACTTCATCCTTCAGGAAATGGAGCGAAGTAGCCCTTCAGATGCATTCAGGTACATGGCAATTGATTGTAGCAAAATATCATTGAAATTATATATTTTGTTCATACTTTTTCTTTATCTAACAGCTTTGTTTGCTCCTTTTTTAAAAAGTTTATAACCGTAAATCCTCTTTTAACCCCCCCCCCCCCCCCTCCTCTAGAGGCCTATTTATTCCAGGCACGTTTGCAATTGAGGAGGGGGGTTTATTTAATTCAGCCAATATGATGGTATCAATTCTCCATAAAAACTAGAACGCAGAGGTGAAAAGCCCAGTCGAGTGAATTTGATGTCTTGCAGCCTAAGATCAAGACAAATCCGAACTTCCAGCACGTAAATTAATTATACCCTATCAGTCCACGTGGAGAGTTACACTCGTGACTCGTTTAAGTGCTACTATGATCAAATCCATGAATATCATTTTTGTTTTCGCTAGTATGACAGTTAAGTACTTGAAGTAAATGGTGTGCAAATTATAGCTTCATACGATTAAGGAAAGTGGTATTTTTTTGCGCTCAAAAACCATTAATTTTTGTCCTGTGGCCTGGTTACCAAGAATACAAGACAACTTCTTTGTGGCGTCATTTTCTTAACTTATGACATGCACATGCCTTATTTTCTTGAAAGAAACCTGCTCAAACGATGTTCTGTTTCTCTCCCACCTCGATGAAACCTCCTCAGGAAGTCTTTCGATCTTACTACATTAGGCTCCGTATGTGTGCAGCAACCGCTTCAATCGATAGAATTGCATTGAGCTTCACGCGAGCCTGACTAACAGAATGAGAGATGCGTGCATGGAATAGGTTTGTTTATAGCTGACGGCTCTACCATTTAAGAATATAAGGAGAGGGCTGGGGGACTAAAAATTTTCTTCACCTTAAAAAGCGCGCGGGAGGGGAGGGGGCTTACTAAAGAGAGGAGTGTTTAATAGAGGATTTGCAGTATTTCGGGTACCAACCTTCCCGCACCGTTTATGACAAAAACGGGTCAGATTTTTAACAATAACAGGAAATGACACCTTAACATTAATGAAGATTTTATCTAAGATTGCACGCCCCAAATCCACTTTGAAGCTCGCCTTCAGAACCGTTCTCGTTTTCAACTGGATCTGCAAGATTTAAAATACTATGTGGCATGAAAGGTACTAGAACTTTTAATTTCGCGGATGATTTTGTATTGGTTCTCGGGAACTAATTGACGCGATTTTTGAGACTCTGGGTTTTTCCGATGAAATCAAAGTCGCTGCGATCGCTTTTGACGAGGCAACGATCCTAGATTTTCGAGTTTCTGTCGTCATGGTGGTTGCTTAAGCTTGCAAGTAGCGTTACCACGCAAACAAATTCTTGATATGTGACAATCAGCTGAAGATTTGTTGGAAAACACCCGAAGAAAATGACGCTCGTATATGCCAATAGAGAGCCTCAATTTTACTAGATTTCACGCTTTAAGGGCATGAATGCATCGCCGTAAATCCTTCGTTAGTTTAGAAAACCTGTAAGGAAAATGTCGTAAGTTGACACAAAACTTTTGTCTTTTTCGAGCATTTTCTTTGCTTACTTTAATAAGTCCCTTAACGAATACGGACGGGTTATTGGCAATAATAGCCGGTGACCTTAAGTTTTGAAAATGATTACGTAATTGAGTACGAATACACTCTTTGGAACAACAAAATGAACATGACAGCCGTGACACAACCCTTTAACTGCATGCCAAGTATAATCCGGTACAGCACTTGCAAACGCATTTTCTGTGTATTTTCTTACGTTTTTCCATTTGTTGTAGTGTTAATTCGTCTGACGAAGAAGACTTGTGATCAACCTGCATCAGTACAGGAAGAGCTCCAGATTCAAGAATTTGGATCCTACTAAACATTTTACATTTGTTAACTGTATGTTTTCCACTTACTCTTGTATGATTTTCTAAGTTCTAAGTGGAAGATCTCTACACCTCTCGACCACACCTCGTAAGAAGATCATGACTTCATAAATGTGTAACTTTTCCTTCGTTTTTTTTTTTTTTTTTTGAATTTCAAGCACTATTTATATTCACAAGGGAGGACGTATTTGTACTGAAAGTGACCTTTAAGTTGCGCTCCGGCCGTTGGAGTCTTTTGTGTGAAAGGAATAGAAGTTAGTCAAATACTTGAAATAGTTTTGAGTAGATAGAGCAGTACCTCTCCGACACCATATATCCCTGTAAGATTGATTTTATCTTAAACAGTTTGCAGTAGGATTATATATATTTTTGTCTTGATCAGAGCTTAGTAGAATCTCGTTTGATGACAACTACTAGAATTACCGTCACCTAATATGGGCTTTTATAATAAGACAGTTATTTCCGTTCACCGGCAGCAGACATTGCTCTGGATTCCCAGTTATCGTTTTGTTTTCATTTTTTTTATGATTGCCTTTTTTATTCAGAGAAGAACCCTTTTATCTCATCAGTAGTCTGTATAAAACAATTAGGTACTTTATTGGTAAACCAACCAATATTGTTTACACTTGTTTTTTTGTAAACTGTTTTCTAAAGAAACGCACTTAACTTCGGTTGGTTCACAAAACAAAAAAAACCTAGTTTCAACAACTGAGTTAGGGATTTATTAACCTTATTAATAACTCTTGTGATAAAGTCATTATTTAATGTATGAATAAATACCTTTTTATAAACTTCAGTTTCAGTTAGCTATTCTAACACCCCTTTAAAGACCCGTGAAGGTATAACTGATATATATTTTTTCCTTCTGTCACTCTTGTTTTACCGTGCTACGTACAGAATTTTAATAGGAAAGGTACAACTGTCATCAACTTGTAAAACCCTTAATCATAACTATAACAAAATTCTCAAATATGATTGGCTATCAACTGCCCTGATTTCAGCCTTTACTACATCCACTTGGAAATCACAGTTGATCCTTGCAATCTGATTGGCCCTGAGTGATGTGATTTATTCACGAATCGCACTATTCTGTGCTCTAAATCGTATCTTTTTTCCAATCACTTATTCTGTGCTCTAAATCGCATCTTTTTTCCAACCACTTAAACAAAATGACCAATCAGATTTAGAGGATCATTCAAAGTAACCAATCAAATTGCAGGAAAACGAAAAACAAATAAAGGCAATATTGTGTAGCACACTTTGACAAGTTTGGGCTAATTTTTTGTAGCCGAAACTGTCTTTTTACAAAGGCAAAATTGGACGAATTTAACTACTTACAGTTTCTTAAGGATGATTGTGAGCTCCTAGAGGCTGAAGAAGTACTTTTAGGGGAGTTTCCGACATTCAGTGTCCAGTTTGATGAATATTTTAATAATCTTTCCTCCACATCCGCTCTGGATCCGTGAGATCCCGAGTCCAGCAACCAGGAGACAAATCCAGAGCCACCTCAGAAAGTACAGAATGTAGATTCCACCAGGTTCCCAGAAATCTCAAGCGAAGATATTGAAGAGTTCAAGGCGGTTGCCGTCAACAAAAATACCTCCCGCTCGACAAAAAAGTGGATGAATTTATTCAAAAGTTGGTGCCAGTCCTGCCATCTAGAAAACGTAAACATAGAAATGCCAGGGGGAGGGGGGGAGTACTGCCATATATGGGCTATATATGTGCCGATGTGAAGGGTATGGTTTTCAAGCAGTTTACTCTAGGATAGGGTACATAAATCAGAGCATTTGGGTCTCGAATAGGGTATCATTTTTCAGGGAAATGATCAGTTGGTTGAAGATTTATCTAAACTAGGGATTGTGGTATAAGGTTTTGTTTTGGCTAGACTGTGCTAGCGACCTCAGAAGTTTCTGGAAAACAGCTACTCTAGGAAAGGGGGATTTGGGGAGTTTACTCTAGTATAGGGTAGCAAAATTCAGCTGAACTAGCTCTGGTAAAGGTTAAGGGTTCCAGGGTCCTAGCGGCACATCCCCACCCAGAAATTCCTAAAGTACTCCCCCGGGTAGAAATGGCGCAGGAAGAGCTTGACAACATCCTGAGCAAGTTCTAGGCCGAAGTAAAAAAAAAGGGACGGAGATGATTACCAGCCGGAATCCCTTAAAAGCCCTTGAAAGCACCAGGCCATGGGATTTAATCCTGATTTTCAGGCAGCTGGTTTTGCAGGATTTCCACCAAGTTTACCCCTGACAGTTTCAATACTGCATGGCAGCGACCATGGCAGCTTTTACGTGTGCTGAAAAAAACTTGGCCCGGGTCAAAGTTCACTAGTAGCCCTGCTTCATCGCAGAATTACTCCGGCTGTACTTTCGATTTTTTCTCCCAAGAAAACGCGATGCCTCAGCCACAACCGCGGAAGAAGCGAAGGGATTATGTTATTGAATCAGACGTCGAGGATTAAACTTTGAAAAAGACTATTTCTGCAGTAACAAGAATTTAGGACTGCTTGAACATTTACATGAATGAAGTTGACTCTTGTTTCCTTTGCGCTCCAATGAGTTTTTGTAAAGGGACATCTGTCATTCTGTTTTGTTGACATGT